GTTTTTAGAGATTGAGGTATACCTGACCAGAAGACATGTCGTAATTTCCCGAACGCTGCCCAGCCGAGTTGAATCCGTTGATTGACCTCTCGGTCGAAGTTTGACTTACCTAGTCGGACTATTTGTCCCAGGTAAACGTACTCGTCAACAACTTCGAGCATAGTGCTCTCAACAACTACCGGTATAGGTGTGACATGGACATTAAACATGATCTTTGTTTTGTCCATGTTCATCTTAAGACCTATCCGTTGGGAGGCACTATTGAGGTCATTGAGCATAGTGTTTAAGTCCTCCAGCGACTCTGCCATAAGGACTATATCGTCGGCAAATCGAAGGTGAGTGATGTACTCGTCATTGATGTTAATACCGTATCCTTTCCAGCCCAGTAGCTCGAAAACGTCTTCCAATGCAGCGGTGAAGAGTTTCGGAGATATAACGTCACCCTGTCTTACACCTCTCTGCAGTTGGATAGGTTTCGAGCTCTGGTTCTGTACTCGGATAGCCATCGTAGTCCCACTGTACAAACACTTCAGCACCTCGATATACCGACAGTCAACTTGGCACCGCTGAAGGGACTGTAGCACCGCCCAAATTTCGACGGAATCAAAGTCTTTCTCATAGTCCACATACGCCAGGCAAAGTGGTAGATTGTACTCTTCGGTCTTCTGTACAATCTGCCGCAGGGTATGTATGTGGTCTATGGTACTGAAGCCTTTTCGGAAACCGGCTTGTTCGGGAGGCTGGAAGTCGTCGAGTCTGCGTGCGAGACGATTCGTAATGACTCTCGAAAACAGCACGTAGACGCGGCACAGAAGGGAAATCGGTCTGTAGTTCTTCAAGAGAGCGTTGTCGAAGCACACTTCTCGTTCGTTCGTTCGAGGTTCTTGAAGAACAAGACCACCGCACTTCTGCTCCACGCCTCCGGAGTAGTGCCACCATGGAGGACAGAATTGAAGAGCTTCTGAAGGACTTCAAGTACCGGTGTTCCACCCGCTTTCAGAAGCTCCGCAGTAATTCCATCCTCGCCTGGGGCCCTGCCGTTTTTAAGGTGCTGGAGATTCTAATCTCGCTTAGACTAATGTCCGGGATATCATCGGAATAGTGTCGGATAAGACTTGCTCTTGGATCGTTACGCACACTTGCGTGTGGCTCCAACGATGATGTGTTCAGCTGCCCATAGAACCTCTCAATCTCACTCAAAATATCAGGTGTCCCGGAAACGATGCTGCCACACTCAGTCTTCAGCTTTGACAGTTGGCTCTTACTGGCAGACATATCTCTGGCAAAGACTTTGGAGCTCTGGTTCCACTCGATCGCTTCTTTAATACGAGCAGTATTAAAGTTGCGTAAGTCTCGCTGTATGCATTTGGAGATCTGTCTGTTCAGTTGCCTGTATGCTGTCAAATCTGTTGACGATTGCAGCCTCATCTCCCGTCTAACAGCCATGAGATTAAGAGTGTGATCGGAGAGTTTTTGTGTTCTTCTTCGGTGGGTCTTGCAGAACTTAGTTCCGACCGCATGGACAGTTTCCACGAGCTTGTCATTCATATCGTCCACTGCATTGCAATCTTGTAGGCACTGAAAACGGTTACGTAAATCGAGCTGAAAGGTTTCGGGATTCTGGATTAGAGCACGAGGGGGACGGAGCGTTGACTTCATTAGACGAGACCTCTCCAACTTAACGTTTAGGTTCAGTGTGCCTCTAACCATTCGGTGATCGCTGCCAGTTTTCACCCTTGCGATCACTGAGACATCACTAAACAGTTGGCGTCTGGTCGTTATAATGAAGTCAATCTCATTTTTGTCGAACCGTCAGGGCTCGACCACGTCCACTTCCTGTGGGGCCGCTTCTGGAAGAAAGAGTTCATCATAAAGAGTCCCTCTTTCTCCATAAAGTCGGCCAGCTGCTGGCCCCTTTCGTCCGTTGCCCTACTCCAAATTTCCCTAACTTCAGCTCACCGGTTTCTCTTGTGCCTAGTTTTGCGTTGAAGTCTCCCATCAACACCGTGTAGTGGTACAGGCGTATCTTAATATCTAATAAATAGGTAGCTTGTCGTCCGATTTATAGATATTGTATCAATATACTTCACACAATATCTTTGCACCTCGCTCGATGACGTCACATTCACGGTATGGTGTGCTAAATAAGTATCTCTAGAAATAATTTTTACCCGACTGTCGGATGTATATGTATGAGGTTTAGATTGAAGGATTTTGTGATTGAATGCATATTTATTAATTAATAAATGAATAATAATAGATGATAGAAGATTAGATCCTATGTATGGTTTTTGCTTTTAGTGATGGAAACTTTATAAAACAATATTGAATTCAAAAAATATCATTTTTATTAAAAATAATTTTCTTACATTATTACTAAATTATTTATTATTTAGCAACTTAAGTGATAATGATGATGATGATGATGATAATAAAAATGCATAACGATTTCTTAAATTTACGCGAACACTACATATTGTATAAAACTATATAATATACTACATTATATATATGTATTTAATCACGTTTAATTAACTTATATTTAATTCCCCAACATTAAAGTGCAGAGGTATTGTGACCATGTAGTACATAACAACACTGCATTCGCCCATTTCCACAGAGTATTTTTATATACGCATCTTAAGTTGGCTATTCACAATGGGATATAATATATATTATATCTCGAGATATAAATTATATCCCACAATTTCCCTTCACACTGTGAGATATATTTTTTAACCAGTGTGCGTTAACCGCGGCGCGGAAGGGTGTGCGGGGATACAGGAGGCGAAATATAATATGAAAATATCGCTCGGTCGATCGAAAAAATATTTATAGTTTGTGATGTAATATATATTACCTCTCAGTGTAAACGGTTCCATATAAAAGTACGGTGAGCGGTATTAATTTATATCTCGAGATGTAATATAAATTATATATACATCCCATAGTGAAAAGTGGGCTTCACACTATCTATTTATTTATCTACTTAGACCATTCGCCCAATGGACTAGTAATGCGCCTAATGTTACGAACAAAAAAATCTGTCACTTTTGGTGCGGGGGAGAAAACACTACGACTACTACTAGACAGTACTGCACACCTACTCAATAAAATTTTGTGTTATTATGGCACACACAAATCTAAATCTCCAACATTTATAACATTTTACGCACACATGTAGGTTAAATACATCAACATAGAAAAAGTTATGAGTTAATGAGTTTAAACACTAACCCTGCAGTTGTCGCGTGGATTACAACAGTAAATCACTGTAAATTAATCTCAATTTTGGGTATTTCTGGAAAGAAATGATTTGAAAAAATATGTCAACTGATTTGTGATCTAACTTTGAAATTAATGTGATATTTTAACATATTAATATGTAAAAGATTTCTTAAATATTATAATTGAATAAAAAAGGACGTATAAATGGTTTTTGTTTATTAAATATGATTAACGGTTGCCTAAATGTTACTCTGTTTCATATTTATAATAAAATAAAAATAAATTTTAATTGATATTTCAAAGCTTTCTCCTTATTTTAAATTGGACTACATACGTAATCCACGTGAAAATTTACGTTATTTTATGAGGCACGACCGCTGCAGGGTTAGGTAGTCTCGTTGCACTTTTATTGTTTATATGTAGCTTATATAAACTAGTTTCGTTAAGAGTGCCGTTGTGCTTGCGTGTTGAATTTTAAACCTAATTTGTAACATCTAAGGGTTGACTTTAAAAAATAAACATATAACTAATCTCGTGAGGAGTGTGCTTGTCACATTTCGATTATCACTACGATGTTTATGAAATATTATGTACTCGATTATCTTATCGGTAAAGTTCTCAATTATTATTTATGATATTATTTTAAATGAATAGAAAGAAAGCATATATTATAATAAAAATACTTACATATGGAATGTAACTCCATCTTTTGTAAATTTGAAGTATTAGACTTCTTTTTGCACACGTTAGCCGCACAAATCGGCATTTTTTAAAGAGCACCTACGACGGATACGATTCTTGTAATTACGAAATCGATTCCGTAAGCAGCTTTTATAAACGCACAAGATTTTTAAATCATCTACTTGCACAGAGGGGAATAATCATGCGAGGCGGTCTATTGGGCTTAATGGTCTAAGGCTCTAAGGTTTTCTAAACGTCTATGGGTATGACTAGCGACGTAGACAGAGAAACCTATTCGCTGTCTACGACTAGCTTTGAGTATAGAAGCTATTTTCTATGCTCAAAGACGATTAGCGATTATAGGGTGCGTTCGGCAGAAAAAAGCGCTAGCAAGCGCTTGTAAGCAAAATGGCGATCGTAAGCGGTATGCGCTGTCAAATCGTAAGTAGCTATTTTCCTCCAGGACACGATGTTAGTTTTAACCGGGGCATCTAACCTAATTTAAATATATGTTTGTAAAGTATTCATATTAAAAACTTACCAATCATGAGTTTTTAATAGCATGTATATGTTTATTCATGTCATTATATTACTTAAAACTAATATTGCACAAAACAACTTATAAACTCTACTTCAAAACAAACAAATTAAATAAGCAAAATGGCGGATTGTGTCAGCGCTACTGAAGTAGCAATTGTGTCCTGGCCGAAAACTATTTTAGCGCTTATAAGCGCTTGCTAGCGCTTTTTTCTGCCAAACGCACCCATTAGCTTAGCTTGTCTATGGTATGACATATTATGACATAACATTGACAATTTGACATAGGATAAACATTTAAGTCAGTGGGATAAATATATATTTAAAAAAAACAAAACAATTATTTGTGAAAAAGAAAAAACTTCCCTACCAATTCCCTACATAAAAAAGTACTCTATGAAGAAGACGTCTTGTCAACATAAAATCATTTTATCAATTTATTATGAAATGAATTACAAAACAGAATCTTTATTGAATTAATGAAAAAATTTAAAATCCCGTTTTCATATCAACATATTCCTAAATTCCGGTTTAGTTTTACTCCAAAGAAAATAATGGTGCGATATTTTGTAAATCCGTACGAGAAAGGTGGGTCTAATCTCGTTCTTAACAATGAAGTAATTATTCAACAAATTAATGAATATGTTAAAAATATTATTAAACATCTGCAACCAACTCATAAAAATGTGGAAGGTGGTCTGTATGTCGGTGTAACAGGGGTTTCTTTTATGTTTTATTACTTGTCAAAAAATTCTCTTTTATCAGAATATAAAAATGGATACATTGAAAAGGCTCAGGAATATTTAAAACCTGCATTAGAATGCTCTGCTGGTGAAAGTACTTCATTTTTGCTAGGGGATGCCGGGACCTATGCTTTAGCAGCAGTTCTTTTGAAAGAAAAGGGTGATGATCGGTTTTCTGAATTTTTAAAAATGTACAAGGCTCTTTATAGTCAGTACCTTAATCCAAAGTTTCTAAAATGTGGTGGAGATGAATTTTTTGTGGGACGGGCTGGCTATCTTGCAGGGACCCTTTGGATGAGCAGAGAATTACAAATGAAAATTTTTAGTGCAGAGGAAATGTATAAAATTTGTGATATGATGATTACATCTGGTCGAGAATATTCAAAGCGATGTAGGAGCCCATGCCCACTAATGTATCATTATTATAATACTCAATATTTGGGTGCTGCACACGGATTGAGCTTTATATTACAAATCCTTTTAACTGTACCAGGCTATATAAATTATAATAAATCTGCTGCTCAAGATATAAAAGCTACTGTAGAGTTTATGGCATCTTTGCAAACAGAAGATGGTAATTGGCCATGTTGTATGGAGGAAGTTGGATTAAGTGACCACAAACTAATACATTGGTGTCATGGAGCACCTGGCACCATATACTTAATGGCCAAAGCTTATCTTATATTTAACGATCCAAGATTTCTTGAGTCTTGCATCAGAGTAGGTGATTTAGTCTGGCAGAAAGGTTTGCTACGTAAGGGCCCTGGAATTTGTCATGGAGTAGCAGGCAATGGTTATGTATTTCTGCTGCTATATAGGTTGACTGGAGATGAGAAATACCTGCAAAGAGCAAAACTATTTGCAAGTTTCATGAATACAGAGGAATTTATTCATGATGCAAGATTACCAGACAATCCTGAAAGCTTATATGAGGGTACAGCAGGAACCGTGTGTTTTTTAGCAGATCTTTTAGTGCAAGATAAAGCTGAATTTCCTTTTCAAGATGTTTTTTCCAATTACCCTGTATAAATATGTTAAACTGCAAATTGCCCATATTTATACTAAACTGTTTTAAAATAATATTTTAATATTGAGAAATAAATTTTAGAACTGCTTGTATCACTTTTTTACCTATACAAGGACAGAAAGTTTCTTTGTGTAAAACAGGACATTTATCACAAATGGTTTGAATCTCAAATTCTAGTTGAATTTTTATTGCAATATTTTCAAAATTAAAACGTTATTGTACTCAAAAATGCATTCATTCAATAAATGTTAGCTATTCACCATTTTCTTTCAATTATGCACCTAAAATGGTATAAAATTTTTATGATTATTTTATATATTTGCTATAAGATAAAGTGAAATTTTTAGTAGCACATGTTTAGTAAACATTTTAATAAGAAAATTAAAGTATATGGTAGCGAAATTAATACGGCCTTTACGGTCCAGCCATTTCGGAGATTAACCAGAACAAAAAGAGACAAAAATTTAAAAAATTGTGTTTTTGTTATAAGTACTGTATACAATTTCATATGTGTTTAGTAAAAAGCTGTTATTTTGACATTACAAACACGTACTTCAATTTTATTTATTTGTATAGATTTACTGAGTTCACATGATGTGAAACTATGTCTGAGGTATAAAAAAATTATAGCAGAATAAAAATATTTATTTATTTGGAGCAGTGCGGCATGCAGTTAGCTTCTTAACCCTCTAAGAAAAAAGAAGAGGCCTTAGATTCTGTGGTGCGTAAGACTTATATACTATGTAATTTCTTTTAAACTTTAATAAATTATCAGGAGTGCAGGTTCCCTCACGATGTTTTCCGTAATTACAGAATCCGTGTAAAATTGCACTTAGTTGCAATGAACTCTGTCCACATAGGTACCTACGCGGACAGAATTCGATCTTCAGTTATGCAGTTATTCATTCATTCATTATGATCTATCATAAGTCCACTGATGTACAAAAGCATTTCCCTAGATTGCCTTTTAAGGGGGGATATTTACCACAGTAGCCACACTTGGTGTGCAGTTTAGCAACTCCTTTTATTTTTGAGTTAGTATTAGGGAGACGTTGCTGCCCGTCTGCTGTTTTACTTCCTTCTCTCTCCTCTTAGGACATCCACAAGATGATATTAGAAAAAATGAAATTTAAGCGCACTTGAGATTAGAACTGTGATGTGAGCGGGGAAAACTATAAGTACCCTATATCATCCCGTTGGTGTCGTAAGAGGACAGGGAAACTGAACCGGGAGACAGGCAGCAGCATCTTTCTGATAATAGTTTAATAAAAAAACTGCGTTTAGCAACAGACTTTTTATAAGCTGAAATGGTAATGGTCTGAGATAGGGCCGGCGCTAAATACATCAACATAATGTAAAAATCAATTTTATTGCATTTAAGTAAACGATGGTGAGTTAATGTCAATGCGTTATAACGGACAAATTGTAAAAATTATAGAAGACGGTTTTCATTTAACTTCCGTTGACAGTAATGGGTGTTAATAATTGGCCCTTCGAATACCCTTTTGCTTATTGTCCTTCAATCTTTATTTATAATATACGTACTGTCAACTGATCTGATCATTTCTACAGTCATAGTCATGGAAACTATTGCGTTGAGCGCCTTACTTTCTATTTTTCCTTACGTTCCATTGTTTACACAAATCTCAAAGAATAATTATATCAATGATGTGGTATTTGTTCACTGTTATAATGCATCTCAAGTAATATCAATGCAAAAAGCGTTTCAATACAGCAGTATGAAAGTCTTAGCTGTAAAATCGGGTAACTTGCATGATTATCAATTTAAAGATTCCAACGTTGTAATCATCCTGGATACATATTGCAAAGGTTGGACAAACGTGTTTGAAAGGTACTCAAATTCTGCCAACAGACAACGAATTCATTGGTTGATTAATACAAACAAGTTGGAATCGACGACCCAAGTTGTATCCCGTTACTCTCTTGAGGTCGATTCAAATGTTATCTTGATACATAAGAAAGGAAGTCTTTATAACTTGTACGAAGTATTTAATACCGGTTTTAAGAATAATGGATTATTTGTCATGCGTGATATAGGATTTTGGAATTCGACGCTATATATTCGCAAGCTCAGACGAACAAATTTACACGGTGTTGTACTAAAGTGCGTGATCGTTATAACTGATCATTTGGCGAACGAAACTTTAAAACATTTTCTTAAAGAGTCGAGACACGAGAAGCCGGATACTTTGCATAAATTAAAATTCTTTACAGTGATTCAATATATGCAGGACATGTTTAATTTCAGGTAATTATGATTGCATTTTTGTTATAGAACGAGCAAGAGCTTGCGGCTCACCTGATGGTAAGTGTTGACCGCCGCCCATGAACAACTGCAACACCAAGGAAATTGCAGGTGCGTTGACGGCCTTTCAAAAAGGAGTAAAGTCGTTTCTTGAAGGTCCCTAAGTCGTATTGGTCTCGAAAATCGCCGGTGGTAAACGAAAAGAACTCCTAGTAAATCGCACAGTAGTGGACCACCAAGCATCCAGATGATGTATGTTTTGTCGCAATGTGAAAATGTGACGTTCAACTTGTTTTCCTCTTAATTTTGATTACCTACTAGAAAGTAGGCCTCTTTCTGAATAACGATCCAACATTTTACTTCATAGAATGATATCTAAAGTAGTTAATAATCCACCTGATGGTATTGTCCTCCAGACCGAATTTCGGTCACGGTGATCAGTCTCAACGGAGATTCAAGGACGCAGGTCAAGATTAAAGTACCCAAGTGTACCTATGCGCAAGCCAGATGAACTTTCTATTCACTCATTCTCATAGTCGGATAGAACGGTAATCCGAAACGACTGGAGAGAGATCGGGCGCAGTACCAACAAGGCGCAGGTTTTACGTGCTTTCAGAGGCACAGGGGTGAAACACCGAAAACTTCTTGACTCCGGGTTAGAATTTCTTGAATAAAAACCCAATTATTGATTTTGTCCTGACCCGGGATTCGAATCCGGGACCTCATGCACAGCAATCGTGTATACGACTACCAGACCAACGAGGCATACAACGAGGCAGTCAACCTGATGGTAATCGGCTACCGGGGCCTATGGGAATCTGAATGTTTTCCACATATTTCCACCCTATTTTTGCTGCCAAGTAAAACTGCACCCGCTGCTGTGCCTTGGTTTGAAGGGTAAGAGAGTCAGTAAATAGGTTGTGAAACATTTCATCTTAGTCCGAGATGACATCCCATCTGCAGTCTTTTCTTAGGGTTGGGACAATCACAACACGTACACATTTAAAATTAATATATTTTGTGGTGGTGGCAATTTCTTTATTCAAAAGACCTTTACAAATCCTTTACTCAAAATCAATAAAAATGCGCCATCGCTCCAATAAGTCCCCTGGAGACCTTGTGTGAAGAAGCGGCACGAAAATCACAAGTAGACTATTTTTTCTCTCAACACTATATGTATGTAACAAGTACTGTTATTTATATTTATAAGTAGAAAAGGTCTCAGGAAGCTCAATTGCCACGCATTTAACTTATTTATAATATTATTTTTATATACTATGTAATATATTTTAAACAATTATACCTATTTATTCCCAAAAATGGGCCGCCTGTTGAGAGCGCCTCAGGCCTCAAAATTCTAAGCTTAATGCTTGTAATTAAATTACAAATACAACATTAGAATTATTTTATTATAGCCTAAATGTTCAACGGACGAACTCTTGGGGATATTCACATAATGGCAGTTTCGACGGTCTTGTGGGCGCACTTCAGCGCTTGGAGGCAGAGTTCGGATGTTCGCCGGTTTTATTCAAAATAAATCGAGCAAAAGTCGTCAACTACATTGTTCCCACTTGGCAAACGAAGTATGATGTATTAATAGCATTTCATTTTGTACGGTCATCTTAGTAACGGCTTGATAAAGGAATAAAATCACATATATGCCATAACACAATAATTTAACAAACTTTCTCAGAAGTAATCAATTAAATAAAATATAAAAAATATTTAAAAAAATACGTGTGGCACCCGAGGACTGCCGCGGTAAAGCTATTGCATAGCATTTTTATCAACTTATGCAATTATAATTATTTATTTATTTTATTTATGCAGTATTTTTTTCTTTGTTTTTTTTCTTTGATATTAATTCAAGTTACACTTTTTTTGCGTGGTGACCGATAAGAAAACAATTTTTTTTCTTTTATTGAATAAATGAGAAGTTAATATTGTTTAAAATATTTTTATTATCTTACAATAGATGTAGGTTATTCAGGAATTTTTATCATTGAAACTATAGGTTTATGGTAATTAACGAGTTCTTCCGACAAACGATAATTTTCTATAAAGTCGGTGTTTATTAAATACTACAAATTCACGAAAGTTGCTAGCATGACGACTCATATAAATCTAAAGAATATGCTTTTTGCAATAAACTATATTTTTGTTTAAAATATTTTTATTATCTTACAATACATGCAACTAGTCTACACGCATTCATCTAGTAGCACGCACACAAACACCGTGCCGAAGTCTGCCGAACTTAAACGACGTTCTAGACTATGTTAAGTTTCGGCTATTAGGTTTTTTCGTTACGGAATTTCTTAATCGGTCGCCGCGCTCAAAGCCCGCGATAAAAGCTATGCAATAGCTTAAAATTGAAATTCTACACCTCATTCCTGACAAACGATGTTTGTAAGCCTCATTTTTCCGCGTCGTAGTACATTTTAGTGCTAAAGTGCTGGTACTGGACAGCACGAATAGATAAGCACGCATGAAAACGTACTACCCACAAACGAGCCACACAAATCCAACAATCTTTACCATAACGTCTATGATCTATTCCTTATGATCAGGAGTCAGATACCTAAGTCTATTTACTGACAACAATGTATTGTGGCCGTGGAAGGAAAAGGGGAGATCTCCCGCCGGGCAAGGTGTTCTGCCCGGGGAGCGGCTCACACTCCGTGTGATAGTTCGGAGATGTTCTATATATGCTGTTTATGATTCGGAATGTTGATAGCGTGATTTAAGCTTCGGTGTGTTTCGCTTGCGGCGCGACGACAGCGCCGCCACATCACCCTCCTGCTCAGACCGGAGGTCGATAGTGCAGTTCGATTGCCGGTGTGTCCTTTTAATGCCGGTGGGGAATGCATGCTGTGTGCGTAAGGGCAAGTGACACCGGTGCGAATGATATGCCGATGTATAATGCATGCCGTACTACGCACTGGCAAGTGATGCCGGTGAGAACGATGTGCCGGAGCAAGTGCCAGAAGTCTGCCTTATAAATCTGCGGTGAGTCGAGATGAAGACAAGTTGGACTGACTTGCAGGAACTGAAGACTGCAGAAGACGATTCTCAATAGTGAATGGTAGGGGTTCTTGAGGATAATGACGAAAGCTTGAAGTTGTAGTTTCCGAAGGTGTTTGGTTGCGTGTTTAGATCACGTCGGTTAGTCACCACTGTGGCCGTGGAAGGAAAAGGGGAGATCTCCCGCCGGGCAAGGTGTTCTGCCCGGGGAGCGGCTCACACTCCGTGTGATAGTTCGAAGATGTTTTATATATGCTGTTTATGATTCGGAATGTTGATAGCGTGATTTAGGCTTCGGTGTGTTTCGCTTGCGGCGCGACGACAGCGCCGCCACAGTATTATAATATCTTATTTTGTATTACCTTTGCCCGACATTTTATACGCACAAACATTTTTTTATAGGATAAGGGTGACAAACGAGCACATAGGTTGGTTTCTTTCTGGCCTCGGAAATCAAACGAAACGCTACAACCGGGCACCGGTCACCAATTCACTCACTCTTGTCACTAACATTCCGTTTCGTTGACGCTAATTAGGAAGTCAAAGCACGAGTATTTTGTTGCTTACAAAACAGTAAGTGGCTCTTCGGAAAAAGGACTTAGGGTGCTTTCAATTTAGACGTTTCGTGTCGGAGCGCTGCGGTGCCGATGCCGAAGCGGTGCGTGTGTCGTAGCGCCCTTACTGGCCTCTTTCTTGATGCAATTGTACAAGTATTTAACTTAGACATGAATGATTGTCGAGGTCAAGTGTACAATAATGTTGCGAACATGGCAGGAAAATTAAAGGTATTCAAAAAAAATTTACTCAATATTCTCGGGCATTTCTCAATCCATGTGGTTGAAGTTATTAGAACTTAATTTGCTCATATTCGCGTAATAAAATAAAATGATGTGTCCTACTCAGTCTGAAGGGTACCTCCTAACACCCCTCAACTACATGCACTATCCCCGTAGCCACTACTTCCAGTACCACCACCCCCAACACCACCACACTTCGTCGTCGTCACACCACTCTCGATAATACGATACATGTTTCACCTCTACACGAGGCATCCACAGGTGAAATACGCAGACGGTGGCTAAAGGCTAAGTGAGTGGCAAGCCGAAACTGTTGCTATTTATGTAACTCGCTTGTCAACGAGTTGTATAAAGAGCAGCGTGTGGAGAGCGGAGAGAGTGTTCGGAGTAGTGGTGATGGGATTAGTAGTGACTAAGATAGTGTCAGCCTCCGCAGAGTCTACTTCATCTGAGGATGCCTCGTGTAGAGGCGAAACACATCTCGTATTATCAAGGGTGGTGTGTCGTTCCTAATGTGCTGGTGCTGGGAGGGGTGGCGCTGGGAGTGGTGGTGCTGCGAGTTGTGGTGTTGAAGAGGATAGTGCACGCAACTGAGGGAGGGTGGGAGGTGGGTGCTCTTCAGACTGGGCAGGACACATCATTGTATTGTTACGAGCTCGAGGTTCGTGACAATAAAAATTGCCGATAAACTTTACCTAAATTAACAATTTAATTTTCTTTACACAAATTAAAACTTAAAACACCAATAATTAAGCACACTAATTCACTTTATTCCGCTCCGAAGCTTCGCTTGTCTCGCCGAATTCAATACTTCCCCGATCGCATCTTGCAGCGCCTATAAATACAAATTGGCACCGAAATATCCAGAATATTCAAGTAAACACCCGCAAGGGGCCGAGAGTTCGAGCGTCAGCTTCTAGAAGCTTAGTTCTTCGTTCCGAGACTAGATGGCGCTGTCGGTTGAAAGATTAGTGATGTCTTCTGGAAAGCTCACCTCGCTCTCGTCTCTGACGCTAGATTGCGCTAGTGCCGGATACATGACGTCGAGTTACTCGCGCAACAGTATTTTATTACTCGGAATTGAGCAAATTAAGTTCTAACAATTTCAATATAATGTATTTCCGCAAAGTAACGCCAGATTCTTTTAATTTTCAAAAGTCAAGTATTTGGGCGTAACAGTCGACGAAAAACTACCGTGGAACCACTCACCTTAGCAACGTATGTCATACGGCTAAAATTGTTTTAGGTACGTGCAGTCGTATGGTTGGGAACAACTGGGGCTTGCGTCCCAGTATGATCCTGTGGCTACATGTGTACAGCAGCAAAGTGAGGCCGATTATCACCTACGCTTCCATTGTCTGGTGTAATAGTGCCAACCAAAAGAGGACTGTGGACTGAATAAATAGTCTACAAAGGACTGCTTGGTTAATGGCAACTGGAGCGATGCGATCATCGTCTGGAACAGCTCTTAATGCACTTCTGTGCCTAAAGCCCCTTGATGTTTATTTGGACCAGAAGGCGAGGGCTAATTTGTATAGGATTAACGCCCAGTACAGTCTGCGCTTACTTTCCTAAAAATTGAGATCCATGCTCGACTCGATTAATTACACTTTTAATAAAAGTAAGTAGTGGAACTACCCTCCAGAGAAGACTGGCTGAATGGACAGGTTATCTGTGAATACGGTAACCTTATAGGGTACACCGATGGGTCAAAAATGGGCCTCGACGTAGGCTTTGGAATTTATGGGGAATGCCCCAAATTCAATCTTAGTATGAATTAGGGTAGATTCACCTCTATCTTCCAGGCAGAAATTTTCGTCATACTTCAGTGTGCGGAAATCAATCTGCGAAAACACTAAGTCAATCATATAATCCATATAAAATCTGATAGTCAAGCGGCACTGTTAGCGCTGAGATCAAACTTAGTGAACTCGAAGCTTTGGAGAATGCGTGAACCGTCTAAACGCCTTGCATAGTATAGGAACACTAATATTTTGTATTTAGAGGGGCGCCACTATGAGATCTCGCACCACCTAAAAATTTTGCTTGGGCCGCCACTGCTTGTACTGTGTTATCTTTATTCTTTAAAGAAATAGATAGCCCGACTAATATTTTCCAATCCGAATTTATGTGCATAGAACTCTTTGGCCTTTTATTACTTACTTTAAAAATATTACAAAGAGCTTTTATACCACTACAGGCACAGCTTTCTGTTCCGCCAACCGAAGCACCAAGCAAATTATTTCTCGATATACACGCGGCCGTTAGATGTCACTATCTGGCGTTGTATGGTGGCTGTCCTCTTGGTTGCGGGACTTGCTCTGAATCTAATTATCAGAATAGAAACGGTTAATGCATTTGCAAATGAAAGTGACTCTTCGATAAGTCTGGTATGGTTGTTAATATGTAGCGCTGTTTGTCAACAAGGTAAATATAGATAATTACTTAACAATTCAATAAAATGCAAATATGAAGATTATATATACATATAAAACTCTTTAGTACATCTAATCTACATTTAGTACATCTCTAAAAGCTAGGGCTTTTAGAGATGTACTAAATACTAAATAGTACTAAATCAGAAAAGCTAGATACTATAATTATAGCGTTAATTAAATCGTGTGTGATTTCTTGGAATTTTTTTTATTTAAGGTATGCCATTCAATAGAGAAGCGATATCAGCAAGAATAATAATATTTGTAATATTCATGTTTTCAATGATAATTTACCAATTTTACAACGCAAACGTGTTGTCGAGTCTCTTGAACGAGCAGTACAATAACATACGGAACCTTAAAGATTTGCTAGAAAGTGATCTGAAGGCTGGAGTCGAAGACATGTTGTTCAATAAGGATTACTTTAAGGTTAATATAAAGGTGAACGCACATATTTTGTCAACAGCGTACGCGCCGCACGTGACGTACCGCCGCATTTTAGAATTCGTTGCATGAAATCATGTGAAACCTCGCACATTTCTCCCGCACCGTACGCGCCGTATTTTATAAATGCGGTAGGTATACGAATATTGAAGGAGGCATGATGATAACGTCATGTAATGTTGTGTTGTGATATCCAGTGTTGCTAAATATTGCCAACTTAGTGGATTTTCCACTAAAACTAGTGGTTTAGTCTACCCTTTTAGTGGTTAAATATTGTTTAAAGTGAAACACTTACACGTTTCGAAATATATTCTTACTTCATTTCAGGAGTGTTTACTCTTACAGTGTAGACAATAATGAGTCGTCAGATACGAGTAAGACATGCGTAAAACGATCCATCCGTCAAATGCATCGTCATCTAATAAGTATTTATATAACTTATATATAATATTCTCCATACAACTTTTTTTTATAGGATAGGGGGCAAACGAGCATAGGGCTCACCTGGTGGTAAGTGATTATCGCCGCCCATGAACAACTGCAACACCACAAAAATTGCAGATGCGTTGCCGGCCTTTTAAAAAGGAGTAGGCTCTTTTCTTGAAGGTCCCGAAGTCATATCGGTCCGAAAAAATCTCTAGTGGTGGTCGACGAAAAACTGGAAAAAATCTTCATTTAAATCGCACAGTAGTGGAACGCCAGTCATCCAGATGGTATGGTTGTTGATGGTGGGATGGTATGGCTGGAATTAATCTGAACAATTCCTCAGAGCACTCTCCGTGGTAAATGCGATAAAATACGCAAAGAGTAACATCTCTTCGCAGTGCCAGTGAGTCAAACCAATCGGAAAGAACTCGGTCGTCGACGATTCGAACGGTTCTGCGCTGGATGCAATCAAATGGAAGGAGCTGTACAGGGAGCCCTAGCTCAGAGATGGGAACAGTAATCCATGGGTGGCCGAACCTGCGCCTTATAAAGTTGCAGACGGCGTGCCGGCATAAAATACTGTCCTGCTATGCTTAGCACGCCAAGCTATTTAGAGGCCAATTTGGCCAAAATTCATTTAAGTGACCACGAAACTGCATGCCACTCGATATATCGATGTCGAGGATTCCGATACTGGCTAAGGCAACAAGGGGAGTGCCTTGAAACTGAGGAGATACGATGAAGAGGTTCATATTAGCGGTAAACGCCCTTTTAAATTAATATTATGAATCTAGAATCTTCTAATATTCGATCTTCGAATCAGGAATTTTTTTTGAATTTTATTTTCTTCTTCCTCTGCCAATAAGCATTAAGCAGGCTATTACAACAATTTTTCCATAGCGATCCAAGCAATCCTGAGCGATCACTGTCACTGTACCGTTGTACACCAGTGGTTAGAAAAACTGCAAAGTTGTTTGCAATACAAAAGATATGCGTATGGCGCATACGTGCCAATGTGCGAGGCCATCAGTAAATGCGGCGCGTACAGTGCTGATAAATGTGCGTTCACCCTCATTAAACTAAACTCAATAAATCGTGAATAACTCGTATACTTACCTACCTAAAAAGTTATTACCTAATATTACTTTAATTACCTATAATTATTACCTAAAAAAATTAATACTTAATTTGTTATCATCACAGCTCATCAATTCTCCTTTTGAACCCTCCTTCCCCAAGGAATGCAACAAAGCACGGCCCTAGCTACCTCCATCCATTAACTTTCTGCACCTCTTATTTGGTTGTTACTCCATATAGTGGGGGGCCAACCTGCACTTCGCTTACCCGTGCAAGGTTGCCACTCGAGAACCTTTCTTCCCCATCGGTTGTCGGTTCTTTGACCTATACAGCTAGCCCATTGCCACTTCAGTTGACTGATCCTGCTTGCGCTATGTCAGTTACTTTGGTTCTACTGCGGATATCTTAATTTAAATACATAATGTGATAATTAAATCCTTACGCGAACAGCGTTCTCAACTTTAACTAGTAAAAACAGAATAGTAGCCTATCTTCTTAGAAATGTACCGAACGCCGCTAATATGTGTGTGTGCCTGGCACGTGACAGTACGGACTCGTACGCACGAGCCACAGCACGCACACAACGACACTAGCTAAGTCGGGAAGAACGGAGCGCAGACACCCATGGCCGCGCTACGCAATTACCTTTGTTTGAGACTTTGTTGACTTTTAATAAAATTTTGCTAGCAGTCTTCTTTCGTTTTATTTTCTCTTTTTGTAAAATAAATTAATATATGCGTTTTTTAAGTAAATTAGCGTTTTATTAATAGGTTTTATTACTATATCTATACATAGATACATATCTCATAAGTACATTAATTATCATATCACATCTGATCAATTAAATTTTAAACATTAAATCTGACCTGATACCATATATTCAGTGTTAATTTACTCGTGTTTTAGTTATTTGGCGGTTGTTATAATGTAAAGCTGGATATTTTTTAACTAACATGGATTCTTTGAGAGGAAACTAAAGAAATGATTAATAAATATGATGCATCTGTATGATAAATCCCGTGTCATAAATATGATGTATTATGTTTGTAAATGTTATAACTACTTATAAAACTAAATGAAACTTAGCTGTCAAACAAAACGATAGTAACGCATTTAAATCTCACGAGGCGCGGGAAAATTCCTACTATTCTGTTTTTACTATGGTTAGGCTCCAACATGCTATCAATTTTCTAGTACCTACTACCTACGCCGCAAGTTCGAATCCCAGTCGGATATAATATTAGTAATCGTATTGTGATTGTTCCCGTATTTCGTACATTCGTTTCGTGCGTTATTCGGGATAAGGGTAGTTATGAATGTATGCGTGCCTATTTTCGCGCGCAACTTATAACTTTGTCCAGCTTAGTTAATATGTGATAGTAAATATGATAAGTAGTAGAAGTTGCCATCGTCGAATTTGTCCTTAACAAAAATTATTTCGTGAAGGGTCATTATAATATAGTCCTATCCAATGTTAAGATTTGCTTGCTTCAAGACTGCACATTTTTCCTCTAGTTAAAGACCTAATCCTATAGTAGGAAGGATTTAACATATTCGTCAGGCTTGGCGGGCGGTAGTTAGTTTAGTCACAGCACTATTGGCGGTAATAAATAAGACACAAAATATTATTATTAACATTACTTTATTATATTTAGTTTCTCCTTAACTTAGGTACTTTTTAATAAATTATGTTCCCTTAAATATTTTTAGATACGTTTCGTAATACCCACCTAACTTTTATGAGTTATTTTTGTTACTTCTACACTATTTCAGCGTACAAATGATCGTATACCTTTAGAACTTTACAAGAAGAAGATAGTCCGAAACAAACAGAATAATTTTTTTGATGCCGAGTACGGCATGAGTTTGGTAAAGCGTGGTGGATTCGCCTTTCACGTCGATACCTCCACTGCCTACCGTATCATGAGAAAAACATTCAGCGAGAAGGAAATATGTGAAGTGAGTGCAGTCCAACTGTTTCCACCGCAGTATGTGGGCGCTGTTGCAAAGAAAGGCTCGCAGTACAAAGAATACATCGCTATTGGGTGGGTATTTTGAGATAAATGCTTTAAATACGTGCCCGCTTTTGGTAATAATATCACAGAGTATATTTTTAATCTGAGAAATAAGACAGTATCAACGACATAATTCAACGTCTTTTATTCTGCATTAGTAATCATGTAACAAATAAAGGCTCGCAAGGTTTTATTTATTAGTAAATTTGCTTAGTGAGATTGTTTAGATGTGTGTATGTAGAATTCACGGACACGTTTTTTCAGTGGGAGTCAACGCCAATAAATTTAATCACCGATCATGGTATAGCCATCATTTACATCAGGTGTAGATTATCCGTATTTGGTGGGCTATAAATGTGTCAGACGTCTGGTGCCGCGGTGGCCAATACCGCCGTCTAGCGTGAGAAAGAAGAAAGAATTTATTTTGATCATCATAATAAATTCTTGCTAATATGGAAGATAGCCTTCTTTTGTAGTAGGTTTTTTATGGGTTGATGTGACGAAGATCTTAAATTACAAGAACATTAGTGAACAGTTTTTATCTGATACACTTCCAAGTAAATGTACCGATGCGCTGGTGACTGACAAAATCAATCGTATTAACATTTTATTTTCTTCAGTGTTAGCAAGATGCTGGAATCAGGACTAATGAAGAGAATTAAGTCGATTTGGGACAGTCGAAAACCGCCGTGCGCGAAAATGCAATATAGTAGTATCATAGCTGTGAACATTCGTGAATTTTCTATGGCTCTCCTGTTACTGATGTGCGGTTTCATGATCGCCATTATTATTTTGCTATTTGAAATCAATTCAATTAAAATAAACAGAGAAAAATGTTCCAAAAGAAAATTTCATCGCCGAAAATTACAAAGCGTACATTTTAAAATGTATAAAACTAAACGAACAATGAAAAACCGTATCCTTTGTTTTCACAGATGTTAGTAATTTGCATTGAAGTAGGGTCACTTAAAATATAATCAAGTTAAGTTCAAATTTAGCGGTAAATATTTTATTGGTCACGCACAGTACCTAAATAAATTGAAAATTATTTAAAAAAAAGCTATTGCATAGCATTTTGTATCAACTTATGCAATTATAATTATTTATTTATTTTATTTATGCAGTATTTCTTTTTCTTTGATATTAATTCAAGTTACACTTTTTGAGCGTGGTGACCGATAAGAAAACAAATTTTTTTCTTTTATTATAATTTTATATAACAAACAGACACTTTAACTTTATTTATATACAAATATATATAATGAACATTTGTAAATCTGCCACACGTTTTGCATGATGTCATCCGCACACATGGGCAGCGCCATGTTCGAACATTTGGTAGACAATCGTTAATGTTTTTTACCTTATACTATTGCTTTAATAAACGAAAACTCGCATAACAGTAAACATCGCCTTTTATTTGCGTACCCACTACACGGCCGGACAAAACTACCTGCAGTTGTATGTCAAAACTTTACTTTATTTTCTACTTCTTTGGGTCCATTTTTGCTTTTACTTCTATGTTGACTCGTTTATAAAACGCGTTTAATGCAATTGGTCGGTGGATCGGGAGTTTTAAGTTGAATTTGGCATTGTTTGGCACAGCTCGTTAGACCAAAAATAATAAAAAGGCTTTTCCTAGTAATTTAGGAAAATTAATGAGGATTTGACTGTAAGGCGTGGAGTGGAGTAAGTTTACCCGAGGCAATAATCAAGAAAGCAATTTTTAATAATCCGCTATCATATACTATGATCATCCCTTGGATGTTGTAAGAGGCTACACAGGCAGTTTTCCTTTTGAAATAAATGCAGAATGTTCACATAAATGGACGTAAAAAAATTAAGCTAATGTAGCACTAATTAGTTTGGATTCGCGACGGCATTTTCAATTGGGGTAAAAAATTGATAGTTTTATTGTAACATATTATCATCTCAATAAAGCTGACATAAACAGATGAAATGAAAGTAAGGCAATATTTGTTGGAAAATAAATGAACGGGAAAAAATAAAACCGAACGACCGAGAGATATAATGCTAACATGCGCCGTCTAACGCATAAAGACCCTGTTTTAATTATAAACATAGGTACGCGACATGTGCCATAAATGGAGTAACTCTTATAACGAAAAAAATTGTTTGTCACATAATGAAATAAAATTATATATATCTTGTAATCTTCCAAATTAAGAATGTTTGCTGATTTCTATTTAACTAATGTTGAGCCACGTGGTGGCGGTGTAATAGAACCATGAGCCATCACCCCTTTGGATCCCATGAGTGTCGTAAAAGACGATAACAGTCAACGACAGAAAACTTTTATGGCTTCCGATAGATGGCATAAAGCCAATGCCCATCTTGTTTACACCTATTTAGTTTACATAAGAATTAAAATACTCGGACCGGCGAGGAGCAGCAGAACAACAGAACATGATATGCTTAAGAAGAGAAACGAAACTGTTTGGTATTAGAAATTAGACATTTCCATCTTAGTCCTCGGAGGTGACTACGCCTCTAAATTTTGATTTTTAATCGATAACTGATGTAGATATCTATGGGCGACAGCATCCACTTACAAGTTAATGGACTGTATGCTTATTTGTCACCCTTACTCTATAAAAATATATAAAAACCTACTCCACTATTAACAAAATTAAATTTTTGCAGTAATATTTTACGATTTTATTTCGTAGTGCTGAGCTCTCGCAACGCGGCGTACGTCCACCTAGCAACACGATGCGCCCCGCACTGAATTCGTGGACGAATGCGGGGGGTGATATAGACGCAGTATTTAATCGGGACGCATTTTTAATTTATTATCATAAAAATAATACATATTTCTAAAAAGTAACCAAACCAAATTATTTTATTTTGTATTGCAAAGCAGTAGATATTTTTTTTATATTCCTTTGATAAACAATGAAGGAGTAAAGTGGTTTCATCTCAACGATTTGGAGGTGATTTGAGTATTTTTTTATTTATTATGTGACACCGATAGAAAAATTATGACTAAACCAAATTACGTATCAGATCAGGTAGATTACTAGCTATTTTTTTCATATGTAATTTCTCTGTAAGTGTCGACGAAAAGTTGGTTCATCTGCACGCTTTTTTTCAAGCTTTTTGCGAGAGAGCAGCCTTAATAATAAATGCACTTTGTTCATTCATATTCAAAATTTCAAAACACTTTATACACAAACACCGTGTCGAAGACTGAGGAAAAGAAACGACGTTAGACCATCGTTAGACAATGCACGGCCTTCAAGCCACACCTCCGTGCCCGTCGGAGAGCGTCAGGTTTTTTTCGTTACGAAATTTCTGGATTTTCCCGCACTCAAGGCCCGCGATAGAAGCTTATTATATATTATTCATTGCCATTAATTTACGTCGACGATTGGTTTGTGTGGTAATTTTAATATCGTACGAAGGAATTTTTGCTTTGTCGGGTTGAACGCTAAACTTTGTGATCCGGGTGGAGATCGCGTTCGATTATAATTTGTGCTAAGTGACGTTAGACTTGAGTTCAGATAGCGGTGAACGCCCACAACGCAACGCATGTGGTTCTGCTGAACGATTACATCGGTGACGTCAGGTTACATTACACACCGTCCTACACCACTCACACCTAACATTTACTTTCCCCTGAGGGTACCTTGTGGTCGACCCTACCTCCGGAACTCGGTAAGTTTGTGTTTGCTTATACAGCCATTATAATAAATTATCCATAGGCCATTTGGGCCCGTAACCTCTGTTGCCCGTCGAGTTGGGTTACTATGTGCCCTAGCCCGGTCGAATTTTGTCGGGGCAACTGAGGGCCGTAACATTTACTGTGTGGTAGCAGAGCGTGGTTGATTGTTTCTCCAATCACGCCCGGCCGTAATATAATAATTTATCTTTGTTTTGTTAGCGGATTGGTGGTCAGAACCACGCCCGTTAGGCTGCGCAAGCAGGAGTGTAGTCAGAGTTAGGTACCTACGCGTCAGGTATTTCGGGTAAGTAGATTAAATTGCCGAAGGGTCGGTCGCCTGAGCGGGGCATCTTTGCTGACCGACTGTAGTGTGTACTTGCCGTGTAGTGTAATTGTATTTAATTTAATTTAGTAGTAATTTGTATTTAGTAGTGATGCCATCGCACAAGCCACCGGCGCTTCGCCTGCAGGCGGAGCTGCGCTGGGCCGCGAATGCCCACACCTTGATAGGGCGACCCGATCGGGTCCATAGTTTAGAGAAGCGGCTCGAGCAGGTCATGCAGGGCCCGAAGGGCCGTAGTGGAGGAGGCTTGCACTGAGCTTTTGGCCTCGCATGTGAAACGGGGAGGCCTAGACTCCTGCCTCGCGGACTATGAGCAATTCTTTTCGCTCACGGACGACTTCATCGAGGCGGGGGCCAAGTATGCTAATGAAGCGCGTGAAGCTCGGCTGAGTGGCCTGCTCGAGTCCTCTCTTAAGCAGTCTACTCCGCCGGAGCTGTTGGGACGACTCCCAACTCTGGACCTGCCAAAGTTCTCCGGGGTCCTCACCGACTGGCTGATCTTTGTTGGCCTTTTTGATAGCCTAGTGGACGCCCGGAGGGACTTGACACCAAGCCAGAAGATGGCGTACCTCCTGGCCTCACTGGAGGGGGAGGCCCTGGGCGTCATCGGCCATTTGAAATTGTCGGACGATGCCTACCAGACCGCCCGGGACCTTCTCGCCGGAAGGTACGCCAACGTCCGGCGAATTGCGGACAAATACGTTAAGCAGCTTCTAAACCTCCCGTTTCTTAGGGACCGGGCAAGACTACGTCCGGACATCGTAAATCCAGTCGTGGTGGCCTGTAATTCGTTGAGGCGGCTGGATTTACCAGTGGACGAATGGTCCTTCTTGTTGCTCCACATCGTGCTGTCCCGCTTGCCTCTCGATCTTCGGATCCATTTTGAGGAGAGGTACGGCGGGGACGGCGCCTCCTATATTCCGCCCTTCAGGGACCTGCTGCGGTTCTTGGAGGAGCAGTGCCGGCAAATTGAGAATGCAGCGGGCACCGTCAACGACCTACGGGCTGCAAACTG